GAGGTGTGGTACTATTCAGGTTATCTCTTTCATCATGACTGAACGTTGGTAGTTTATGGTTTTTGAGAAATTACTCCATTTAATCTAAATTGTTTAATTTTTATTTGAGACTTATTTATGGCATTGCTTATTATCCTTTTATTCAAGTTGATTATTATCCTTTTAATGTCGATGAGGCTTGTAATGATTTTCCCTCCTTCAGTTTTGATAACGGCAATTTGTTTCTTCCCTCTTCTTTCTCTCTCTCTCCTTCCTTCCTTCCTTCCTTCCTTCCTTCCTTCCTTCCTTCCTTCCTTCCTTCCTTCCTTCCTTCCTTCCTCTTTCTCTTATACTGTTTGCTCTACCTGTAAAATATATCTGGAATCCAACCATTTCTCCCCTCTCCCCTGCTACCACCTTGGTCTTAGTGACCATGACGTCTCTACTGGGTTAGTCTACTAGCCTCCATGCAGGCCTCCCTCATCCAGTCATGCTGCTCATCAGGTTCTCAACACAGCAGTGAGAGTGACTCTTTATAGGTCAGATCCTATCACTTCTCTGCTTCAGAAGCTGCAATGACTCTCCACTTATGTAAGCACCAAAAATATGTACACAGTCCTATCGACCTCTCTTCTTCCACTCCTCTCTGACCTCACACACTATACTCTTCCTCTCCCACTTGGCTCCAGCCACAGTGGCTTCCTTGCTCCTCTTAGAAAATGCCAGGCACATACCTGCCCTAAGGGCTGTATGTCAGGTTTTCTTCCGCCTCTGATGCTCTGCCCTAGTTTTGGTTTGGTTCGGTTTGGTTTGGCTTATTCCCTCACATTCTTCAAGTCTTTGCTCAATGTCACCTTTTCAATGAGACCTGATCTGACCGCCTGTGGTATTATAAATACATTTGATCTTAGTTTCCAGTGCCTGGTCCAGAGTTCTGAAAACCTTTGTAATTTTTTGAGTGATAAGGGTGCTAGGAATATCTTTTGTTCTAATATTTGGTTGCTAATCCCGATTCCGGACAAAAGAGCTTCTAAGAGTCTTGAACTGTCTGAAGTGAGAAGAGTGGCTGTTTGCTGACAGGAGGGCTGGTGGCTGGGGGGCCTAGATAGTTTTGGAATGAGGACTGGTCACCAGAAAACCAAGGCATGATTGGAACTTGGAACTTTCAGCCCCACTCCTCCATCTGCAAGGAGAAGAGAGGAGCTTAAGTTAATAATCTTTTAAGATCTAAATGGAAAGATATCCAAGATATCCAAGATTAAGATTAAATAATAAGATTAATAAGATTAAGGTGCTGAACAGAGTATGTTTATTTTGTTTATAAAAAAAGGAAAAATAGAACATATATTCAGTTTTGCTTTTATTTGCATAAAAAAGTCAGAAAAGAGGCATAAGAAATTAATAAAAATGTTTGCCTGGCTGAGAGGCAAGAAATAGCATAAATGTTGACACCAAAGGGATATGAGGAAACTTTTTGTGGTGATGTATATGTTCCCTACCTTTTTTTTTTTTTAAACTTTTTTTTTTTAATGTTTTTTATTTATTTCTAGGAGAGAGAGAGAGACAGCGTGAGCAGGGGAGGGTCAGAGAGAGAGGGAGTGACAGACTCTGAAACAGGCTCCAGGCTCTGAGCTGGCAGTCAGCACAGAGCCCGACGCAGGGCTCGAACCCACTAACCGCGAGATCATGACCCAAGCGAAAGTCAGAAGCTTAACCGACTAAGCCACCCAGGCGCCCCATATATATGTTCCCTACCTTGACTGTGGTGATGAACTCACAGAGTATATGTTTACGAGTATAACCGACGGAATATTTTATTTAAAATTTTTTAACATTTATTCATTCTTAAGAGACAGAGCATGAGTTGGGGAGGAGCAGGGTCCAGGCTCTGAGCTGTCACCACAGAACCTGATGTGGGCCTCAAACTCACTGACCGTGAGATCATGACCTGAGCTGAAGTCAGATGCTCAACTGACTGAGCCACCCAGGCGCCCCACCAATGGAATATTTTAAACAATTGTAGATTAGCAAATCTCACTTATATCTCAGTAAAGTTGCTAAGGATACATATACACATAAATAAATAAAAAAACTTGATCTCGAAACAAAGGAGAGATGGTTCAGAAACTAGAAGGGGATGCTGGGGTGAGGGATGTTTTGCTTTTCAGGGGTTTAGGTTTTGCTTTGTGTCTTTCATGGGACAAACTCAAGCAGATTTATATGCTGTAAGTATATCTTTACATGTATAAGCATAGAAAACTGTGGAAAAGAGAGGAGGCAGTTAATAGAGTTAAGACTAAGAGAAGAGATGGAATATTCAGAGCCCAAGGCCAGGGGGATAAGGAGGTAAGGATATATCTCTAAATGGTGAACCCTGAGAATAAGCTTAGTTTTGGATGTCAGTGACATTATTGTAAGCTAAATTAATCAGATGTTCACAGGCTTCTCCCTTCAAGAATGGTGCATCTCCTTTGAAGTAATTTCTTCCAAATTCAGTGACTCCTTCTAAGTTTTATCTGTGATACACTCTAAAAATAAGAACTATTGAAAAGTGGACGGAGGTTTTCCTCTGATCAAGAAAGAGCTCTAAGTGAGAAGATGCTGTTCTAACTTTACCAGACATTAAGTCCCCTGAAGCCACTCTGAGAGCCCTGATATTTGTGTCCCTGTCATATGTTTATGCAATATGGAAAGAGAGGTATTCACTTAAGTGAAAGGGAGGTGGTGTTCAAAATTTATAACACACACACACACACACACACACACACACACACACACACACACACGGGGCAGGAGAGCTCAGAGCTTGCCACACAGTAATTGATATTTAACTCAGTGTGGTGGAAACAGGACAAAAACAAAGTGTCGGTTTAACAGAAATCACTTGTCATTTTAACATTAAAACAGCTTTAATTTCCTAACCATTTTACTTAGAAAGAGTCAGACTTCTAGGAGCCTTCATTCAGGGAACTTTTAGGACATAAAATCCAGATCCTGTAAAAATGGTTTCTTCACCTTTCATATTCATTCAACAGGTTTAATGTGATGTGCAAACTAATGGTGATCTCCTTTCTTTTTTAAAACCGGTTTGATTTCAATGAGAACCCACATTCTCAGTCAACGTTAATGAACTTGTTTGTAACTATTCAAGGGCTAACAAAAGAGAAATTCCTATTCGTTTAATTACCCGGTAGCTTTGGATCAGAATTTTTCGTTCGATAGCGCTTCAGTGGGTCTCCAGACGGTCAAAACGCCGCTCTTCCCCAGCAAAGTGAGCAAGTGGGTTCACCGTGTCCCCTTTCTGAGGTCTTTTCAGTCGTCACACTCTGGGTCCCATGGAGCCGGGCTCCTAGCGTTTGAGGGAGTACTTGGAGTGGGCTGATGCCCTCTAAACACGAGCTGGGGAAAGGGGCCGAAGCCCAGGAAGCCCATTCTCAGACCCTGGGAGGAGGAGGGGGCCTTTCGGGAGCCACTGAACTCGGGACTTCGAGCAGGCGTCCCGGACCTGCTTTCCGCGCGGGAAGATCCGCACCCCAAGTTGTCTCTGCTCGAAAGCGCGCAGAATTGTGCTCCGCGCCGCTTCCGCGCGGGTGCGGGAGATGCTCCGTCAAGTAGAGGGTTCACGTCCTCCCTACCCGGGCGCCCACCGAGTTGCGGTCCCGGTGCCCGGCGACAAAGACGATCTGAGCTGCTCCCATCTCTGGCAGGACTAGACGGGGTGTGAAGGAAAGCCGGGTTCGGGCGCCGCCCGAGGGCAGAGACTCGGCCTTCGGGGTGGTTCCGTACCCACGCTCGCGCTTCTCCAGGCCCCCCGCCCGGGGCAGGGCCTGGGGTCGGCGAGTTGGGGTGTGGGTGGCTGCAGGAGCCGCCGCTCGTGCGATATGGCGTCAGCCCCCTCCCCTGTCCCCCGCCACTCGGGGGCGGGAAGTGGCGGGGTGGGAGTCGCCCGAACGTGATTGCTTGAGGCCCCTCCTGCCGAGGCGAGGGAGCTCCATAAAAGAGGGTGCTGCGACCCGCTCTCCACACCCGGTCCGCTGGCTCTCAGCCCTCGGAGAGGCGCCCCGGACTGTCCAGCCCTCGCCACTCAGCCACGCCCGCCTGCCCGCCCGCCACCGTGAGTGCCGCGACCCGCTCGGCTTGGGGCGGGAGCTGGGGGACGCGCCGGCTCACCCCCCGGGGCGCTCTGGGGCCGCGGGAGGGTCGCGCCCGGCTCCCCAGCCCCTGCGCGCCGAGCCCGGTCCTCTGCTGCCCCGACGCGCCGTGGCCTCTCGAGGAGGCTAAATTCCACTTGTTCCTTCTGGTCCTTTCCGACTGCACATCCGCCCTGCTCCCCGACCTCCGGGCCGCGGGGCCCCTCTGGGTTATCTTTTGGAGGATATGGAGGGCAACGCGACCCCCAGCCCCGTTTCCTCGGGAGGTCGTCGCCTGGAAGGAGGTTTCGCCGGAGTTTGGAAGCTCCGTGCCACCTTCCCGGATCCTTGGGATCGGGTCTGAGACTGCCTGCCCTGCCGGGGAGTTCTCTTCCCTCTGTCCCAAATTGTCACCCCGAAGGCATCGTCAGCCCTACCCACCCATCTCCTGCAGCAAAGACAGACCGAAAGTATGGGAGAAGAAACTTTTCTCCTCCGGCAGGGGGTGGGGAAGAGGGTAGGAAAGTGGCAATTCCTCAGCCCACGGGAAGGAACTTCTACGTGTGTTTGTAAAGTATCTAAACTGGCTCAGGCGGGCTCTGGCCTCCGCCCCGCGCCTCCGCGTGCGTGGCTCTTCGGCCCAGCGACTTGGACAGAATTTGCGCGGACTTCCCACATGGAGCAGAGGGGTTTGGCGGGGCCGATGGTGCCTTTAGTAGGCAGCGTGGTGCTTGCCACCCCTCGCTTCCCTCTGAGGGGCTGGGTGGAGCGCGGGTGAGGGTCTCGAGTGGTAGCGGGGGGAGTGGGTGGCGAGGAAGACACAGAAGGCAGGTTCAAGCTGTGCATCCTTCCAGACCCCCTTATTCTCCGCTTTGCCTTCTGTGCCCGCAGATGCTGGGTAGCAAGCGACTGGGGCTTTCCGGACTGACCCTCGCCCTGTCCGTGCTTGTGTGCCTGGGCGCGCTGGCCGAGGCGTACCCCTCCAAGCCAGACAACCCAGGAGAGGACGCGCCAGCGGAGGACATGGCCAGATACTATTCAGCCCTGCGACACTACATCAACCTCATCACCAGGCAGAGGTGGGTGGGCTCCTCCGGGCGGACTCCAGGAGCGCCCTGCCCGCGGGAGTGGAGATCCCAGGGATCTCAGAGCACAGGGACCCGTCTTTTCTTGCTTGTTTCCCAGGGCAGCACAGTGCCAGGCACACAGTCAGTTCTCTGAATAATTGCTTTGGGCACTGACCACTTTCCCTCTGCAACTATAGTTACAGAATCGTGACCCCCCAGATTTGGGTTCCCTAAGCTGTGTGGGAGGCCATCTTCTCCCACTCACTCCCTGCTCTTTTTAGTTCTTAGAACAGTTGGAGGACTGTTGGGCAACCTGGATGGGAAAAGACCCCCTAAAACAGGTCAGGGGTGCTCCAGGAAGTGCTGTAGGGAGAAGGGTGAGCTGAAGGTGTAGGGACTACTTCCACCACACCAACCAGGAAACAGCTGGGTTGCTAAAGATATTGCCAGATTTTCCAAGCTGCCCAGAGCAAATTGCATGACAGTATTTAGGAAAAGACAAATAGAGCTATTTTCTTGTCTTCTGTACAGTGGGGTTTTTGTTTTTTTCTGCCGTCTCAGCTCTCTACTTAAAAATCCTGGTGCCAATAAATAGAAATTTAGCGTGAAAACAGTTGATCTAAAATGCGGAGACTTTCCCCATCTTATATATAGCAGGTGAGTCTTGGGAAGGAAGTGCCCACTTACTGCTTTGTTAAGGAGAAACTAGTCACGCTAGGATAAACCCTGGCATTACACGGAATTTGAAAAATTGTAAACTTTATTCTGAACCCTCGGAAAGCTAAAGTTAAATGCTGGGCTTTCCCTCTCAGCATCAAATATTAGAGGGAAAAATCATATCCAGACTGTAATATAGGATTTAAAATGTGTTTCCCAAATTGGTTCATTTTAGCTCCACATCATCCAATATCTACTTTAGTTCCAAGATCAAATGATCTCGATAAGCTAAAAAGGGTGAACCCTTTAAAAATACTAATGTTAACATATTTAAATTATGTTCTGTAAAGTATTATTTTGTTTTTGTTTTTACAATACTCTTTACTTTTTACAAGTCAGAGAGTAGTTGAGAAGGATTCAAAGTGGGGAGAATTTATATTTTTTAATACGTTTTTTCCCTTTTCATCAAAAGGGATATGACATCCTAAAAAGCTTTTGAAAAAGTCCCAGTTTACATAGAATCAGAAATACATAAAATGTCAGAATTAAATAGTACTGGTTTGTGAACCTTGAAGTCTGTTCATTTTAGTTAGCAAAAAGCAATAATGTTTTATATCCTAGTAGACTTCTCAGAAAGTTAATTGCTTCAAATTCTTGCTTATGCTTTCACAGACTAGAGAAAAGAAGTGTTGAAATAAAAAAGATATTGTCATTTGTCTAGAAAAAGCTTTGTTGGTTAGTTTGTCAATTATAACACAGTAGAACTCATTTCTGCAAAGATGATTGCTATAAAGAAAGCTTTTACCATTGTATATAAACCTTTAACATTTCAAAATGTTTCCCTAGGCATTATTTCATTCAGTCTTTACCTCGAAGCTTTGAAGTGAGTATAATTATCTCCATTTTACAGGTCATGAATCTAAGAACATTTTATGAAGGATTTTCTTTATAGGAGTGATGAAATTGGAGCCATCCTACGGATTTTCTTTGGATATTGTCCCTATCATCAGCATCCAGTGTGATTTCCAACCCCTTTGATGGTACAAAAATAAAGAGAAAGGGGCGTGAGTTTGATGGGAAGAGATTCAGGTTAGGTGGGAATGAGTCGATCCTGAACCAGAGTTTCTTGTCTCATCTTCATATAAATTCCCTCTTAGAAACCATCAGAGGCTTATCATCTGCATCCAGCATCTCCATTCCCACCCCACACACCCAGTCATAAACACAATTTTGTATTTTTGAAAATTGCAGCATCATTGGTGAACAATGTTTTCATTTGACACAAATGATAGTCTGATATCATTCTCTTTCCTCTCTTTTTCTACTCAGTCCTGGCTTTAAGCTGTATACTTCTGGTTCATTGCCTGAAAGCTGCATCATTTATTCTAGAGCATGGATCTACCACATTTGACTTTTCCAGTCCCCTAAATCAGTGGTTCCCAGCTGGGGCTGACTTTATGTGCTAAGCAACCTATGATGCCTAGGACAGCCTCCTTCAACAAAGAATTTTCCAGCCCCAAATGTTAATAGTACCAAAGTTGAGAAACCCAGCCCTAGATTAGTCTCTCTCCATCCTGATCAGACATTGGAGTCACCTAGGGAGCTTTTTAAATACACTAGTGCTGGGCTGAAGCCCTGACTTCTTTTTTTTTTTTTTTTTTTTAAATATTTTTATTTATTTCTAGGAGAGAGACAGCGTGAGCAGGGGAGGGTCAGAGAGAGAAGGAGACACAGACTCTGAAATAGGCTCCAGGCTCTGAGCTGGCAGTCAGCACAGAGCCCGACGCGGGGCTCGAACCCACGAACCACGAGATCATGACCTAAAGCGAAAGTCGGACGCTTAACCGACTAAGCCACCCAAGCGCCCCAAGCCCTGACTTCTTAAATCAGAACTTCAGGAGTGAGTGGGACCTGGGCTTTGCAGTGGTTTAACAAGCTTCCCAGCTGATACCCATGTGAAGCCAGGTTTGTGGATTTTTTTTCCCCCCGAGACTCTATCTTTGCTAGGTGAGACATTGTAGAGCAGCAGAATCCTGAATTAAGCAGAGAAGGAAGAATAGTGAACAGTGCTCTCCTGGGTGCCACTTGATGACTATAAATCCTGCTATTCTAGATTTAGGTTCTTTACTAGTAAATTGTAGAAAGCATTCATCAGTTCCTCTATTCACTGGAGCATGATGCAGATAAATGAGTTAAGGTTGCTCGAGAGTTTTCAGATTAATAAAATCAACTGATGAACAGAATAAACAGGTATATAAGCAGCGATCTAGTCCGACATCACAACTCCAGAAAATCTTGAGGAAACCTTATAAATGATGGGGAAGAGGCAGTTTGTTTGTTTTTGTTTCCTTTCAGCCCCAGCAATGGAGCAATAATAGGAAATCTTTCCACAAGATTTGGATTTAATTTTACTTGATGGGCAGTTAGGTTATACTTTGTTTTGGTGTTTTACCTATCAGCTAATCAATCCATCCAGGCTAGTTTTTCATTTGTGAACAATGTGGCTTCTGGTATACAACGAGTTTTCTGAGACTTGGTAGACTCTTCAGCAGTGAGAGAGAGAGAGAGAGGCAGAGAGAAAGACCAGTGCCCTCACTCACCTGGAGCAAGTAGCATATACTTGCATCCACACAGAGTCCTAGACAGATCCTGCTCTAGGAGAAAAAAAAGACCAGTAAGATTCCATAGTCTTTCCACGGACCGGTGAGATTCCTTTATATTTACAGGGCAGATTAAAACCACAGCATGAAAGAAGTTTTTTAGCTTTTGGTACCCCAAATAAATATGGAAAATATAGGACCCATGTTTGTTGCTTTCTGTCAGAATGGGTGAATTTCAACAACAGCACCTTGCATTTGTGTTTTACTATGTTGCTTTCAAAACATTGTGATTCACATTAGATTTCTACAAAGACTCCAATTTAAACATGGGTTATGATTCTTATAAATAAGAAGAATGAGGTTTGAAGACACAGGCAGGTCAAGAACTTCTGTCTGCTGATTTTTTCCCTAAGGCTGTTTCCAAACTATCATCTGGTCTCTCTGTTAAGATGTAAACTGCTATAAATCATCAGAATTATAGCCAGTTAACCAAGTACGGAAATCTTGAAAATTATACTGCAATGTGTTTTTATTTCCTGTCACCTGTTTATAAAAGTCTGTCTATGTATCTACGGTTTGTGGAACTATACAAGGCAAGAATTTATCTAGAAATTTTTATTGGTTCAAATAACCTGCTAACTTATTGTTTAAGCAAAATTATACGTATGTATGATTTGAAATCCTATTTCTGATAATGTTTATTTCATATACCTAGATTACTTGTTAGCAGATGACCAACCAGGCGGGAGACTATCTTTTGTTCTTTTTATGAATATATCAAACTTACTTTAATATATTCTTTCTTTTTCTTTTCTATTTTTTTAGGTATGGAAAACGATCTAGCCCTGAGACACTGATTTCAGACCTCTTGATGAGAGAAAGCACAGAAAATGTTCCCAGAACCAGGTATGAACCACTTACGTGGGGACATTGTTGCAGAGTTCAAGATGCACAAGGGAGGAAAAGCCCAGAGGCCGGCCTGGGAGGGGGAAGACATTGGAAAGGGTCTTCTAGGCCAGGTAGCATTTTGGCAGAAATGGAGATGGAAAATAGGGCAGTGAGGACCTTTCTTTTCATTGACTAATATGCAAATCTCTAAAATTTTGTGGAGTATTATTTTCTACCCCAGATTATTTAGTGCTCCTTTGAAATTTTTAAATATAAGAGACTTCCACCTCAGAAATGACTCTATATAGAATTTCTATCTGTGTTAGAATTGAGAGAAAATAGAGTGAGTCCCTATCTCTACACTGAAATGACTAACAGACCATCTTTGGTGGGGGTCGTCTTTAGTTTTCATACATTGTGTGGAGTGTCTACATACCCTGCTGATATCACTCATGGGTCTCACTCTAGTCTTCCTCACTTTACATGAAGCTGGAGATCAATCTCGGCTGGGTGGGGGCTGTTGTTTCCTTTTGGAAATATTTTAAGCTCAATATCACAGAGTAATATCAAGGAATGAATGTGAAGGACATCATATTCTGAGGGACTTGTCTGTAACCTCGGGGGCTTTCTGGGAGTGTGGAGCCATCTGGGGAAGAGGTGCCCACCAACAGCCAGTGTCACACATTGGACAACGACGGGTGCTGGGAAGTAGCCTCACCCTCCTCTGTTTTCATAACTTTCTGGCTCTACTGTCTGATGCCTTCTGCCTCTACACTTAGCAAGATCATATGGCACATGGTCCCTCCATTTCTGTGGGAGCTTGTCTGCCTTAAACCCAGAGCTCCACAATGTCAAGAACCAGGTTCCCCAGAAGAGGTCACTAGAACCCTTGCTCAGTGAATGTGACTGGAGTGTCCCTCTTCATTGGGGTTCTCCCCAGAGAACAAGTGGGGTGACCTGCTGAGCCACTTACTTTCCCTCCCTTTGTCCTTCTCTCCTCTTGTGAAATGGCCAGCCAGGGCAAAGGTGCAAGTCTAAAGTCATCAAGTTTTTTTCTCTGAAGGAAGTAACAATTTGGATTGGAATAAAATTCCAATGCTCTTGTCTGGAGGTATCAACCCAGATTTAAACAGAAAATGCAAGGGAAACAGGTGGAAAATTCATAAGGGTTGTTTTTAATACTAAACAATTGATGCCTTTAAGGTTTCATTGACATGCATGTGATATTTGCCGTGGTAAAAAGTTTAACGTAAACCTTACCTCCTTTGGGTAAGGAAAGGGACCATCCAGACTTAATACTCTTGCTGTTACTCTTCGTTTTGTGGTTTAAAGTCTCACAGTTGGTGCATGAAATAGAGTTAATTGCACCCTGATGGAGACAGCCTCAATCCTGTGCGGTTAGGAGGAGGCAAAAGTTGACATCCTCGAAGTTGCCTGTGAATGCTATTTTACTAAAAAGAGTTCTTTATAAAAATAGTATCTTACTACATAAAAAGCCTTTCAGGAAAACAAAAGAAGCATATTCAGAATTGAGTAACACTGACTTTCTTGTTACCATTTTGCGTAATTCCTGTAGTTTGGATCTTCAGAAATATTGCAGCGTTCTTTGGCTCCTTTGATAAATTCAGAGCCTTTTAAGTACTCCTTCTGAGATTTGCTTGAGACTTCCGTGAACATGAGTGAAAACTACTCAGCTGGGTCTCTGTGTATTATGCCACTGTCCCCGCTCTGATATTCTACCTGACCTCCTATTTAGAATGCCAACAGGAGCCCTTTCAACAGTTTCTGATCATCTTTCAGTTTGGAACTGAATGTCTCACTTTTGTAAGCCTCCCAGGAATTTGGGAAAGCTTCTCTTACATGCTTTGCTTCTTATGTTTGACAGGCTGGAAGACCCTTCTATGTGGTGATGGGAAATGAAACTTGCTCTCCAGTCTTTTCCTATTTTTCAACCCATATTTCATCCTGTAAAACTAGAGTCTGCTGGTCCTCCCAATGCATGCTGCCACTGGGCTCAACTCTGCAGAGTCTCCCTTTGTCGTCCTTGTATATACGTGTGTTTAAATAAAGTACCAAGCATTCAAACATGTATGTTCCTCAATGAAAAAATCTGTTGTTGCAATAGTCAAAATTATTTTAAGTTATTCATTACATCACAAACTCACTCAGTAGAAGGTTCAAGGTTCGTTTCACCAATATTAAAGCAGTGACTATGAAAGTTATAAAGATAAGATGATTAGTGATGATCAAGACTCAACTGTGTGTGTGTGTGTGTGTGTGTGTGTGTGTGTGAGAAAGAGAGAGAGAGAATAAAATATTTGGAAACATTGAGCAGGGGAATGTTAATTGAGAATAATTTACGGAACTTTCCCCCCATATACACATGAAATCGATGTTAACCTGATAGCCTTTGCTATCAGCAGAAAGGATTCCTGTCTAATAGAACTTTCTGCAAAATATCTTCTCCTCGAATATAGTAGCCACCAGCCACATGTGGTTTTTGAGCACATGCATGAATGGGATTTAAATTTGATTGGGTTTTCATTTCAATAGCCACATTTTTGGGGTACCTTTCGTATCAGACATCTCAGATCTGTACATGTATTTAGGCCCCCACACTAAGAGTCTGAGTCATAAACAGAAATACACTGAGTAGGAATGACTACTTTTTCACAGAACATGGGGTATGTTAATTAATTTAGCTGAAGGTTATTAAACTTTCTCCCTCCTTCATGTACCTATGCATGGGCTTAGTTTAACATTTATGCTACCAAATTCTTACATGTAATTTTTAAATCAAAGAAAATGGGACATCCTATATTTGGACTTTGAACAACACTATAAAAATTATTTTTATGTGGTGTCTCAAAATTGCTTACAAAACCCCAGTATATGTCACATCTTAGGGAATCTTAGAGTATCAAAAATATTCTCTGTATATAAAGAATTCTGTTTCTTCGACCATTGAAGACAATGATGCTACAGAACATAATTACCTTTAATGAAATTGTTCTGCGATTTTCCTACTTTGGTCCTCATTTTTGTTTCCTTGCACTTTGAAGTAAATATCCTTATCTACAGTTTCCTTGTCTGCAGTTTCTATCATGTGCGGACAACTGCAGCTGGAAGGAGATGTTCTTCCTTCTGACAAATCATCAGAAGGTCACTAGTAGCCTGACTTTACATCACAACACCTACGTCATTCCCCTCACTTCATCTCATCACTTAGGCGTTTGGTCATCTCAAATTTCACAAGAAGAACAAGGTGAGTACAGCGTAGTAAAACATTTTGAGAGAGAGGCCACGTTCACAACATTTATTATGGTATATTGTTATAATTGTTCCATTATTAGTCATTGCTATTAATCTCTTCCTGTGCCTAGTTTATAAATTAAACTTTATCATAGGTACAACTGTATAGGAAAAAACATAGTTTATGTAGGGTTTGGTATTCTACATGGTTTCAGGCATCCACTGGGGGTCCTGGAACATATCTCCTCTTCCCTCTGCTGGGAGAAGTGGGGGGATCTACAGCACCAATATGTAAAGTGGGTTTTTTAATGTTAAAATGTTGAGTAAGTCATAGTTTCTTATCACGCAGCCAAAGGTTCTTTACTAACCTAGTATATTCTTATTACATGTCAAAAGATTTTTACTGAGGTTATTACTATGCGAAATACGTTGACTGAAAGATTCATTTAGCAGCACAGATAATCTGTTCATCACCAATTACAGAACTTATGTTTACACGGAGCAGAGCAAATAGGAATGACATATATGGACCCTTGAAAGATAGCCTGGGAATTTCATTTTAAAACAAAAGTTTAAACCTCTTATCCTACCAAATCTAAATGCCCAAGAGGCTAAATGTTAGACAGCCTACATTTACTTATCAATCAGGCCTTGATTACTCACCTCTTCACCTCATCTTACTAGAAAGAGAACTGAACCTTAATACCATGTGAGCCCAGCAGTCCTGACTCAGTGGCTTCAGGTTCTCTGACCTTCAAATTTACTAGACTTCTGAGTTCTGACTCATGAAATGGGGGTCATAGGTCTTGCTCAACTTTCTGCATAAGTTTATACTGGAATCAAAATTCAAGTTAAGATAATATTACAAGTAAGTAGTAGTAGGGAAATGGATAAAAATGAAGTTTTTGATAATTCTTGTGTTGCATTATAACTCCCTTGCTACAGATTGAATGTAACCTTTCAGATTTATATGTTGGACTCCTAATCCCCAAGGTGATGGTATTTGGAGGTGGGGTGTTTAGGGGGTTGATTAGGTCATGAGAGTAGACCTTTCATGAATGAGATTAGTGTCCTTGTACAAGGGACACCAAAGAGCCCGTTATTCCTTCTATCCCATGAGGACACAATGAGAAGATAGTTGTCTATGAACCAGGAAGCAGGCCCTCACCAGACACCAAATCTGCTGGTGCCTTGATTTCAGACTTCCCAGCCTCCAGAACTGTGAAGACTAAATTTCTATTCTTTTTAAGCCATCCATCTCTGGTAATTTGCTATAGCAGCCCAAACAGACTACGATATCCCTAATAAACAAGAATTCACTTTAAGAAATCCAGTAATTGTAAACATTTACAAATTGTAAAAATACATTCCAAGAGATGACCTTGTAATATTTTTCAAACATTTTCAGTCTGCTGACCCTCCTTGGAATTGGGATAAATGTACAAGATCATTAATCTGTCATTGCAAATGATTATAATCCTTACTAGAGTTACAGTAAGAACAAGTGAACCTTCATTAAAATGAGATGCCCGTAAGCAACGTCATCATTATCAAGTAAATCCACAAGCGTTTCTTAAGGTCTCTGCTGATCCAAACTCTGTTCCACATTTTAAGAGGTATAAATTCTGCATAAAGTGTTGGCAGATGCCATCGTACTTTTTTGTTCTTCACAATGCCCGTGACACATTCAAATGGATAATTACTTCCCCATTTTCACAAAAGAGGAAACTGAGGCCTAGGGAAAATAAGTGACTTTCCCTGGGTCATTCAAGGTAGGAAGACTAGATAGCAAGTTCCTCTGTTTGCAAACGTTGCCATACCTGATAATGTTTCATGGAAGAAGGTAGTCAACACCAGGTCTTACACAACCTAGTTAAGAACATATAGCTCTAGTACACTTAAAACAAATTGAGAATAACAAAGTACTAAATTGTGCAAAAGTAATTTAGAAAAGGAAATGAGTATGGGCAGAATTAGCTGGAAAAGGCAGAATTAGCTGAATATGGATGTGGAGCTGGATGAACACAGAGGTGGGTCAGTCAGAGCTTGTGTAAGGAACGGTCAGCGATCTACCTGATAGGAACAGAGGTAGAGTGGCCAGGAGTTGAGTCAGTAAAGCAGGTCCACGAGTGGCCAAACTCATTCACCCATTCATTTATCCAGTCAACACTTTTTGAGTATCTAATATGGATGGGACATTGTACTAAGCATTGGGGATATAAAGATCAGTAATAGTTTCTCAGGGAGTTTAGTGAGGAAGATATAGATATTTACAGTGTATTGTTGGGAGTGCAAAGATGGAAGTTTTAGAGGTTTGGGATATAGTTAGGTGCTAGAATCTTCTCATTTATCATGCTTCCCTTTGCATTTTCCTGACAAAGGAGCTATAGATATAAGAATCAATTGCCAAAATGGGACCAAAGTGCTAGATGAGCAAGTATCCAATGAAGCCAAATGCAGGGCTGCCCTAAGCTGAGTCAGGGCACCTGACTAAGGCCTGAGCTTCTAAAGTACCCCTGTCCCCCATACCAGCATCCTGGTGGAGTACGACAGGTCTGTAGGGCAGACCTTCACATCCACAGTGCACTGGGGTCTCATGAGTCACTCAGAATAGCAGCCCCTTCCCCCTACCACCACCACCAAGCAAAGGGAGGTAGGAATGAGAATAGAGGAAGAGACCCTTCACTGCTATTATTCCCCATTTCAGGAACAGAGATATCTCCTCCCTCTCTAACAAGAAGTGAGTACAAGGTGTTACAGGAGCCATGAAGGGGCTCCCAGCCAAGGCTGCGGGGAGTGGAGGAAGCAGGTCAAACTTCCTGGAGCCACTGATGCTAAGCTGAGATTTGAAGCAGGAATACCCACTGCCAGATAAAGAATGTGAGATAGGAGCAGAGGACATACAGGTATGAGAAAGCATATATACTTTGAGTGCTTTTGAATTATTCTTGATACCTATACACTGAATTTGACCACGTGGTAGGCCTGGGCCACTGGGTTACTGTTCTGAAGGGAAGATCCCATTTGAGATGAAAGCAAGTCCATGTCCAGCTGTCTTTACCCCAGTGTTCCTTCCGTCCTCCACACCCCCAGTCTCACCTGCTCTTCCATAGATTGGCTCCAGGGGTAGACGGGTACCTCCCATAATCTTCATTCAGCCAAATCAGGACTAGGCTTCTCAGCCTGAGATGTGTTTATTATGATGTTATGGACAAATTTACACGTTCAGAGAACAAACATTGTGGGGTTGGTCCTACACCCTAATTCAGAAAGAAAAGGACTCACTATTTTTTTTTTTTTTTTTTTTTGGTTGCAATATTTTAGCTTTCTTAGTATCTTCCAGCCTCTTTCCCCATTTAGATGTGGGTCAAGGCAGAAGAGCAGATATAAAGAGAAGGACAAATCAGCCCTGAATTGGGATTTGCCCATCATGGTACAGTGCTTTCTGCTAAGTAAAGATGCCTGATGCACTGTCCAGAGCTCAGCCCTCATGCAGACTCTATGGCCTTGCTGATGACAGGCAAGTTCATTGTTCCCCTCTTTCTTTCCAATACATAGGCATTATGCTTATATGGTTACTTATTACTATGTAGGCAACATAAAATATTTTTTCTCCTCCATGCAGAACATTGGACTCAGTTACAATGCTTAGAAACTAAACAAATACCTTTTCTATTTGCCATAAAGGAAAACTGCCTTTTGAATGAGATGGTTCTGTGGAATATTCTTTTATTGTGGTTCATGGTTAGAGGGATTATGATATTGTCACAACTAAATGACTCCCTTTTCTTCTGCCTATTAGAAAAATTAGCACAGTGTGAAATCACACAGAATCTT